CACATCAAGAACCAAATTTGTAACTTCCGAGAGAGTGAGTTTGTAGTGCCCATGTATTACACTTATTATCTCTTCCTACTTCGACCTGCAAACACTTATCACTTTTTATAATGGCCAAAGACAAAGAGGTTGTAAATAAATTGACCAAAAAAAAAGAGGCACCTGAGTGACTTGAATGAAAAGAGAGGAAGGAGCGTTTGTGGATAAACGAGCACCGTTAATCTTTACTAAGCATGGTTCAATAAAAAAAGAGATGGAAAATGGATGGAGAAAACAATAATTTGTGAACCAAATGCTTTGGAAAAAATACATGAAGAAGCTGTGCTATTGAGGAACAAACATCTTATACCTTGAACAATAAGGAGAATGTACACAAGATGATGGCAAATTGGACCCAAAATTGAGGAACGTTGTCCAAAGAAAATCAACAGTTAGAAACTCTTGTCCTGAGTCCAATTAATTGATCGCCCTAGCCGCATTCTCTCTCAAGCACAGTAATCGAGGTAATCAAATCACACCAGATCTCCGACGCCGGTGAAGCCGCAGCTTGCCGGCGTCGGACCGTCGCTCTAAATACTAGCTTCCTATGTCTCTGCTCGAAGGTTATGACATGTTTTGGTTTGTTGGCTCTCTTTTTCTTCTAGTCTGGCCACCATTTGAGGAGGAAGACCACAGTTTTTGGGGCTGGGTTGTTACCTTGCCTCTCCGGTGAGATAGGCCTCCGGCAACCGGTGTTGGTCATCCTCTTATCTTCGGTCCTGAGACTTTCTCGGTGTTAAACCGAAGACCTTTCTAATTTGTCGCGGGCAATACAAACGCTGCTTCACCTCTCCATCTTACTATCGACTTCTCTATACTGTGCCATTTGAGCTTCACATCGGAAGATATGGAGAAGAATATTTCCAATCTATGCTCTGTCGTCGGCTCTCTAATCACCACCGAACATTTCTTGGCACGGCAGAGCCATCATTCAGAAACCGGTGGATCTAGAAATTTATCGGGTGAGTCCCGAAGGACCATCACTATGCTTACTGTCGACAGGTCGCCTCACATAGCTACACTGATTCGAGCTGATAACAGCACAAGAATCTTCGTCGGTGTTCTTTCCATCCACGCCGGCAACAGTTTAAGCCCACTGGAGTTTATGCCATCATCGGGAATCCTCCGTACACAATCTTCAAAGATGAGAAATCTTCTCACCGATACGGGACCTGACCGGTCTCCGATGTCATGTGCGCCTCCACTATCCTCGTCGTCGATCCATCTCCCTGACGGATCAAAATTTGTTATAACCCTTTCTTTTAACTTCAAATTACAAATGACCTTCAAAGAAAAGAATTTATTTTTTCTTTTCTTTTTCTGTCGAAACTGTATGAAAAGACAAAATAACCAAACAAAACTCAACTTATTTACGACCCAACCAGTTAAAATCCGATCTAAAAGTTTACCCATTCCGCATAAAGCGGATAAAAACCGCCTACGACCCGGAAACGACTCTTCCTCTTCATAACTCCGCCCACGACCATTTTATAAGACAAAATTGAACTCAAATTCACTAAAAAATCAGGACAACTAGGAATAACCAACTGTGAAAATCACAACGAAGATTTCACAAAGAGATCCAATTTTCAGTCTCTTTCGTGCACCAACTGCGAACTAGGAGGTAAAGGTTTAGTTCGAATCCGTTAAATCTTTTCAATGTCGTAGAATTGGGTATAAA